ATCTCTTACATGATATCTATTTATGTGGTTAAAATAAKCCATTAAACGTGTTTTTATCATTCTATTATAGATTGATATAACAGAGAAAACACAAGAAAAATTGGTTGGCGTTCTTAAGAGARTTGTACTGAACAAGTGGTCGAAAAAAAAGCATAAAAGAGAAAAATGTTGTCCTGAAATGCTACCCTACCCCCACCTTGGCATGCCATGATCACACGTGAGGGTCGCATATTATGGTCGCGTACAAGGGGGCACATTTACAGTACACAAAATGCTACCCTGATATTCAAGGGTAGCATAATTCACTGCAAGGACCAGTTTTTCCAGTTTTCAAATCTTGAGCGGTTTTTTCATTTTCTTGGTATATATTGGATTTGAAGTTGCCGTTTGAGAGGAGAGAAGACCTAGGGACGATTTCTAGAGCAAAGGAGATGAAGTCATTTAAAACCCTAAAATCCGTAATTATTTGGGGATTTTGATAAAGTGACAAACGGTATGTTTGATTTCAATAAGATTTTCAAACCTATGCCATGAATTCTTGCAATCAAACTTCAGTAAGCCAAGCTTATTGTTTTGAATAGGTGGATTATCTAATTCGTCAATGCTAATCTGTTGTTTAGATTCAGCCAGAGAGATTATTTTGGTTAATGTCTATCTAAGGAAAAATCGAGGTTGTCAGAGTTTGTTGACAACCATAGCTGGTTTAAACTTGTAATGTATTCTTTTGCACCACATAAATCGATGATAAACTTCTTGCATCATATCGAGGGTGAAACTATTGTTGGACTTTTTAGTTTTACTGCTCTTAATCGTATGTTTGGTTTATTTAATCGAATCCAACCTCTCCCCCCCTTTTACTTAAAAGTGTAGAAGTTAAATAATAGTACGATCAATCCTTATGGATTCGACCTGACGTATCATTGTTGCAATTTTAATTGTGAACAAATGACTGGTTAGTTAATTATTATTTAGTGGACTACGCATCTGTTACATAAATTCGAATCTTTTTCCTAAAACACCCTCATGATAGTTCTTACATTCTTTCTCTGTTTCGTAAATGATAACCACAAGAGTGGTGTTTGATTGGTTTGAGCTTAGGCTCCAAATGTCAAAAGTATATGGAGGTCTCAACTTCAAATCCAAAGAGGAACACAAATTTCTTTATGACCACGGAGATTCAAATACGGTGACTCCGGACTACCCATAAAGCTGTCGTTCATTTTAGGATTAGTCGGCTCGTATACTAGGTTGAATATCCAGATTAATAAAAAAAATGATATTAGAAAATTTCTTCAGCTTGTCAACCCAAGCTGTTTTTTTTTTTTTTTTTTTTTTTGTAGTAATTAATTTTTTTTTGAAGGATAGTAATTAAATTCTTAAACCCTAAAATTAGGTTTTCCATATAAGCACAAAGGATGTATATCATAACCAAAGTAATCATGTTTCAATACACATTAAAAAGAGGGCAAGATAGTAATTTCACCTACTTAACATAGTAAGGAAGGTCAAGAACATAAAGAAGGAAATAAGCCCAAGTGACACCAGAGATGCCACCAAAGAAGAACCCTCCGGTGAACTTAGCCCAACCGTCGGCTGTTTGAAGCTGGTCCGGTTCCTTCTTCCTTCCGGTCAAGGTCAACGATGGTGCGATCGATGGCTCGCCTTCTTTGAACGATGCGATCCCGTACATGGTCAAGCAAATGCTAAGAATCACCACAAGCCCACCTGCGGCTAGTGATCCGGCTGCACCTGCATACTCTGTGTTCCTTAATGGTCCGGCCTTCACGAACGGACCCACTAGGAAGAACCCGTGGGCTAGCCCAACTTCAATGCCACGGAGCAAAGGGTTCACGGCGGTCCGGTATCCGGGAAGATTTGAGAGATACCATGCGATCAGTGGGCTCGATGTCACGGGAGTCTCGAGACTTCCGATGAACGGGTCACCGTTGATCGGCTGGACGACTTGGTATGTTGGCTGCACAGTTGTATCATATCAAGAAAACGAAAATACAATAAACCGGGGCTTTTCCAAAACTGCCCCTTCAAATTAAAAAAAAAAAACATGTTTATTTCATCTATGAAAAACCATTTACAAACAAAAACTTTCTCAATCTATAAAGATAGATTAACCCACACAAACAATTTCATTCGTACAAGACTTAATGGAAAACTAACTTTGATATGTTACTGTAGCCTCCCAATTTTTATGACAATGATGCCCGATGGTAGCATGCATCGCAGTTGTAGCGTATCTAAGGGTCGTAAAAGAATTTTATACTACGACAAAATATATCAGTGATAGCACGGTTACAACTTACAAGTAGATTCGTCTTTGTGCTCTAGACCAAATAGAAAAGTCATTATAACAAACTGGAATTTTCAGGACGTTTAATTGTCTTTGGACGATCTAATAGATTGCTTAATAGCACTTAAATTTATAAGAACGACGACTTTGAGTTCTAATAAGATGCGATTATGTAACTTAACAAGTTTTATTGACGAAATTGGACAATCTAACAGGACACAAAAAAAAATAAAAAATTGTCATTACCCTTTTTATACGACATTTTTTTTTATAAAATGACTATTAAGCCAATTTACTTTCTAACCTCAATTAACTTGTCCAACTTTGTGGATAAAATTTATCGAAATGATTATCTTCGTTCTTAACAACTTTTAGTAATGCATAGAACTTAAAAAGCTTAATTAAGTATTCTGTTAAAACATACAAAACAATTTGATGTCCTAAAGGACCTAAACAGCTTGAAATCGATCTTGATTACTCGTTTGGTATAATTGCAACCCGTTACTATATATACAAGAGTCATCTCCAAGAATACAAATCTCTAACACGGAAAACCGAATCAATTATCGAACGAAAGCAAAAGATTATTGATTCTAGTTAATCAAATAATGAAACAGAAGAAACGACCTTATCAGTTTGGGTAGCCTTGATGGTGGATGAAGATCTCTTGGACCATGGGAAGACTCTAAGAGGCGAACCAGAGAGACCCTTGGGTGCAACCGGTCTGGTTGTGGTCAATGAAGAGGTCAAGCCAGTCTTGAGCTGGAGGCTAGCCATGGTTGATGTTTGTTGTGACCAATGTCTTCAATTTTGAATAGCTTATGATGCCCATTTTGTTGAGAAATTTGTGGGTTTTGCTACAAATATGATTCTTACACGTGGGTGGATCTTATTGGATGATGAGTATTTGGATGGCTTACTACCCTTATCCCATATCATTTGAGTGGATAGTATAGTCTATGGATGACAATTGTTCGTCATCTTGGCTATTTTATGTTGAACTTAAAAAGTTTTGTCCTTTATTTTGTATATATACATAGTCAAATAATAACTCTTTTGTTTGTGGTAACCGTAAGATTCAATTTCAACCATAAATCATATGTTAAATTAGTAAATCAATAATTTTGGTAATTTTAACTTAAATATTAATTAAGTACATTTTAGGGATTTTATAAATATCCTCTCTCATCTCTCCTCTTTCCTCCCTCCGTTGAATCTTATCCGGCGAACCTTATTCCGATGAATCTTATGTGAACATAAGATACATAATGTGATACCTACAAACAATATCCATTGTGATACCTAGATATACATACAAGATGTACAATGTGATATCCTTTGTAAAACAATCAAAATAGCGAAAATGCAAACTATGATATATTTCATAAAATAAAGAAAATACATTGTGAACGTTATCACTATGATACACTTTGATTCACAAACAGCTTTAAAATAAGATGTATATTAGATAATTGATATACTAAGTAACTAATTTTTAATTAAATATTTCATTCTAAAAAAGTTAATTAAATATCTTGATTACTTATCAAAAATAGAATTAATATATTACATTTTTAGTTTATTTAAAAATATCCTTAAATATCTCAAATGAGTGGTTCACATTGGATCACATGGTTATCACAAACTAATCAGTTATCATTTGAATGGACACACACACACATATTATTTAGAGTAAATTACACTTTTTGTATATGTGGTTTGTTAATAATTTTGATTTTCATTCATGTAGTTTAAAAATTATGACTTTGGTCTCTATGGTTTGCAATTTATTGTTATATTTGTTCCTATACAAATTCCTACCTCTAAGTACAATGGATCAAACAGTAACAAATTATAAACCATATGAACCTGAACAACAATAAATTATAAATTATAAGAATGAAAATAGTGATGAATTACAAACTATAGGGGCAAAAACCGCAAAACGGAAACCGCAATTTTTAAGAAACCACATGAACGAAATTCGTAATTTACTCTATAATTTAAGACAATCTATTTTTATATAGCGTTTTTATATTAGTTAATTCAATGAAACTAAAACAAAAATAGCGTTGTTGATATGATTGGTAAGCACAGACATATAGTTGATAAAAAGACGAATTGTAGCATATTTCAGTAATGTTAGAAAAGTAAATGAGTGACAACTTCAACAACAGTCACTTAAAATCTTGTATTAAATGTATATGGCGTTTAGCTCAGTTAATAAAAGTATGAGATGACTTTATCCAAATATAAAGCAGGTCACGGTTCGATCAGAGGCTCCCACTAACCTTAGTCACCGAGTGAGCCGAAAAATATCCTCTCACATTAATGATTAATATCTTTGAAGTCAGATTATGTGTGCCCAGTTGGATGCCGGTAATCAATAGTTGTTACATATAAAGAGAAAAATGTTCTCTTCATTCAAATTCTAATAAGGGTAGTGTCTGATTGGTTTAAGTTTGAGCTCCAAAAGTCAAAAGTGTCTGGAGATCTCAGGTTCGAGTACAAGGTGGAATAAAAAAATCCCCTTACGACCACAGATGTTCAAATACGGTGACTCCGAACTACCCACAAAGTAAGTGGTCGCCTTGGAATTAGTCAGCTCGCATTGCAAGTTGGATATCCAGATTAATAAAAAAAACTCTCAAATGAGATATTGTTATTTAGTAAATTAAAAAGTATAATAATTATATAATTTTTTATTATTGGCATTTATTTTGAAACATGTGGATGATTATATAAAACAACCAAAACTTCCCTCAAATTAGTCTTCCAAACTATTTACATCCAATAAGGTTATTATCATTTTATATAATTTTTAATTTAAATTTATTAAATCTTTTTATATTATAACTGAATAATTAATATTGTAATTTTTAAAATTAAAAAATAAATAAAAAGAATTTGAAAAAGCTGCAATTTGAAGCCCAATTTCATGGTACAATGGGCCTAATCGCAGCCCATTTCATGTTTGGTCGTTCAACTCGATAACTCCTTGCACACAAACAAACGCACCTGCAAACCAATGGCGCTGCAAATGTCCAAGCTGCCATTGTTTCGCCGTTGCGGATGGCTTAGTTCCAGCAATGGAGTCTTCTTATCCGAACATAGTTATCTCTCTCAGCAACCAGGTACTTGTGCTTTTGATTCCTATTTTTTTCGTTTCATATCACTCGATTCTTCGCGTTCGTCTGTATTCAGTGAGTAAGAATTTGAAAGGAAATTAGATAAATTTCTTCAACATTTTTGTTGATTTCACCTTGTTCATGATTTTAGAATTCTCGTGGAGTTACCAAATTTCGATGTGTTATATGCCTATTTTGTTAAAATGGAAGTGTTAAGTCGATGCTATACAATCTGGACCTGTAGTTTTGTTCATTCAAAGTGAAGAGTCGATCAGAATCTATAGATGTTTATAATAGTTTGTAAGTTCGTGTTGCACAAAATCAAACACTTGCTTTTTCGTATGTGTTTAGTATTTTCTGTCTGAATCTGAAAAGAAATGAAGTTAAGTTCGTTGAAGTTTTTGTTGATTTCTTAGCTTGTTAGCGATTTTATAATTTCTCGTGGACTTACCAACTTTTATGTACCCGAAGGCCATGCCTTTTGAATCAGACTTAGGGTTTGTTAAGCTTAATAGTGACTTAATGATATAGAAAGTGGCTTGTTCAGTGGAGTTTTATGCAACATGAATTCACAAACTATTATAAATTTATAAGCAATTAAAGATTTCTGATCGAGTCTTCACCTTGAATGAACAAAACTATAGGTCCAGACTCCAGATTGTATAGCATCAATTTCAACACTTCCATTTTAACAAAATAGGGCATTAGATAGAATACATCAAAATGTGCCAAGTCCACGAGAACTCTAAAATCATGAACAAGGTGAAATCAACAAAAAAAATCAAAAGAATTTAATCTGAACTTTCTTTCAGATTCCTACTCACTGAATATAGATGAGTGTGCACTCATCCGCATCTCTAACCCATATTATAGCTTAACTATAAAGTATAAGCCCTATCGATCTCTCATAAATCAGAACTATACCAAAATGCTTCATGACACTAAAATCTTGTTTAATTTTTAATTGTTTATGAGTACTAGTTGCACAGAACTGTAGTGACCAAACACTTGGGGTAGTCTTTAGGGCATGGAAGTGGAACTGTAGCTCTTTTAGCTCACAATTGAACTGGTTTTGCTTCACTTCTGATTCCCAGTCATACAATTGAAGTTCCTAAACAGAGCGTTGCTGTATGTATATACTTCTGCTGTCAATATATATTTCTGCTGTCAATTGATACCAAGAAAAAAAAGATTACGCTCTAATGAAAATTATCAGCTAGTTATGCTTCAACTTCTAAGAGCATCTCCCACAAATTCTCGAAAATAGAGATTTTAGGGAATTTTGCTCCAACAGATTCCCCAAAACTTTCTCCAAAATGGAGAAAGTAGGAGAGACCGGGTGAAATTCTCTAAATTTGGAGAACTCTCCAAAAATGATTACTTATAAAAGAGAAATTATTTTTTATTCTTCCTACCAATGAAAATGCTTGAAACTAAATGTATATGATAGAGAAATAATATTTTATGAAAGATATTGAATATTTTAATAAATGTAATACATGTTGTAATTTCGAAAATGGAGAAGCTGTTGGAGATTAATGTAAATTTACTTTGGAGATTTTGACTTTTGATTCTCCATTTTGGAGAATTGTTGGAGATGCTCTAATAGATGGATTCTGACTGCTTCTACATTGTAATCCAGTGACATGCACCAAGGCTCGTAAGAATTGTTCCATACGAAGCTTCGCTACTCTAAAATCAGGAAAAGTTATACCACCGAAGAAGTGAGAATTCTCTCTCTCTCTCTATTTCTCTCTTTCACTTAAAAATATCAAGGTTATGGTACTTTCTGTATCGAAAGAGTTTTGCATATTTCAGGGTTGGACACATAAGTTTTTCTTCCCTACTGTTTGCTCTAAAAGCTCATATGTTCATGTATCCCTATTGGGTAACCAAACAAAATGAGCCCACTATATCTCATCCGAAGGTGGGATATACGAGGGGTTAGATGTACGTAGACTTGACCTCTACCCCAAGAGTAGAGCGACAGTTTCCTTCAAGACCCCCAGATGTATCTCTATGGGTGAACCGGTGAACCTTCTAAATCACTGTGTTCTATGTGTGTGTATGAATGTTAGCCATCAGCTTATTATTCACACAATAGTTTGTAAGTGTCACTGGATGTGTGTAATGCTAACTGATAATTAAAGGTGACGTGATGCCAGGGGCGGACCCACTCTATTGGATACTGTGGCACGGGCCACCACTTTATTCCTCTGTTGTAGTGTAAAAAATTATAGGGTCGTGAAAAGTGCTACCATATGGTCCGTGTCAATTTGTTGTGTGCCACCGTATATTCTTTGAAACTACAATAAGGACACAAGTTTTCCTTGGTAGAGTTGGTTTGCAAGGTTTTTTCTTCCACCCCAGACCTGAGTTCAAATCCTGTTAGTGTCATTTTCTTAGTTTTTAGCTTTTATTTTCAGATTTATTATGTTTCTGAAATTTTTTGCAATAAAGGACTTGAACACATGACCTCACATATGAAAAGCAATGAACTAACCAATAGACCAATGATAACTTTGTGAAAAATATCCCTATATTTGTTTCTTATAGTCACCACCACTTGAAAAAAAAATTGGTCCGTGTGATGCAGCCTTTTAGTAGAGTTTTCTAATCATTCTTGAATATGGAGTCTTGCCTTTCTTAGGGAGCTTTTGGTGGATGTAAAATTGATTCTTTTATGCCATCTTGATTTCTTAGTTGTTGCTTTCTTGGAATCTTGAATTTGAGAGTTCTCTATTTCGATTTATATGCAATGCATTATTGCCATCCATCCATCCATCCGTTATCCAACACCTGTTTCCCAATTTATGTTCATAGGAAGAAGAGACTAGATGAAGTATGTCTTGAAAGGTTTCAGCAGTATAGTCGAAACTACATTCAATCATGGATCCTACAAGGTTACCCATCACATAATTCTGTGAATTATATGCATTAGTTTCTCGAAACCAATGCTTTTTCCATCTGTATGTGAACTTCTACTTTAGGCAAGGTAATTGTTGACGGAAAAGTTGTACTTAAAGCTGGACACCCTGTCTCTGACAAAGCCATCGTGGAGATCAAGGCTGAAATTCCGAAATATGTATGTAGGTGATTACTCTCACAAGTAGCTCACTTTTTGTTTGAAATCTGGCTTCAGGTTCTTCGTTCATTTTTATTAACTCGACTTCTACTTTAGAGCAGGACATAAGTTAGAAGCTGCCATTGAACAATTAGGCATCGATGTTGCTGGAAAAGTGGCTCTTGATTCGGGGCTGTCAACTGGAGGGTTTACCGATTGCTTGCTTCAGTATGGTGCTTCTTTTGTTTATGGCGTTGATGTAGGATATGGACAGGTAACGCCACATAAAATAAACAGAAAATATAAAAAATATGAAGAATAACACAAATTGTATGTAATATAAATCACCTGCCCCCAAACTCCATATCCCCTCTCTGTCGACCAATTAAACCCTGACACATCTCTACTGTACTGGAGAGAGAATAAAAAGATGAATTAAAGGGAAATTGACCAAAGTAGCCAATCTCCCCAACCAACTTCAACTTTTAGCCATTTTTTCAATTGAATTCCCATATTAGCTGGAGTTTATGCAAATATATATCTTCCGTAAGGATTCAAATTTTTTGTGTAATAAGGATCCAAATTTTTGTGTAAAGAATCCTTACGCATATGCGCAAGATTTTTTTCTTCTAGAAATCAGTCTTCACATGAATGCATAAAAGAATCTGTGTTAAGACCGGCTATTTTGGGAAGAGGCTCTGAAAAGTGACTAAAAAGTGAATTTGGTTGATGAGAGTAGTTATTTCTGTCAATTTCTCTAAATTAAGTAAGGGTGATTCTAAATGCACCCCTACTAATTCCCCCCCATATACATGAACATCAAGACTATTTTTTTACATTTTCGATGCATGATTGACCACCTGATTCTGACCTAAAAGTGGTGGATATAGCAACATCCATTAAAAGTGAATATCCTGAAATAAATAATGATGTGTCAGGAGTTGATTGGTGGAAAAGGGAGGAGAATTGGAGTTTGGAAAGGGATTTGTATTCAACTATATAAGTTTATCCTTGATGCAAAATTGCAAATTCATACATAGGTGGCAGATAAAGTTCGTCGGGATGAGCGTGTATCTGTTATTGAAAGAACAAACTTGAGATATCTTTCTGAACTTCCTCAGAAAGTTGACTTGGTGACGTTGGATCTTTCATTCATTTCTATACTTGTGGTGAGCATTTAACTACTATTTAAAAGCACTTATGTTTTTGCATTTCAATGGTTTGAGCAGGACCTCCCTTATATGTGTGTGTATATGTATATATATATATATAGAGAGAGGAAGATTCAGGGGAAAACCTCCAAAAAATGAAAAACTGAGGAACACACTGGTAACCATTCATCTGGACGGTTTGCACATGTGCATACAAGTAATTGAAGTTGTTTCTTGGTTTTTATGCATGTGTGCATACCCGACAAATTGTATGCACATATGCATACCGTGCATATAAACAGTTACTAGTGCGTTCCTTGGTTTTTCCTCTTTTTGCTGGTTTCCCTGAACATGACCCTGTATATATATATATATATCTTGACTTAACCTCCCTTTAATATATATATATATATATATATATATATATATATATATGACTTAACCTCCCTTTTATATCTTTATTTCCTCCATTTTCTCTTTTTTGCAGGTCATGCCTGCTGTTATTAGTCTGATGAAAGAAGAAGCTACATTAGTTACGCTGATTAAACCTCAATTTGAGGCTCGTAGATCACAAGTATGAAAAGGGATCCGAGATCATTTGTTTAGGCCATTTCATTTTATTTATAAACCAAACCAACATAGTATATTCCACTTGAAAGTAGTGTATGGGACCGTGGGGGTAGAATGCACGCAAACTTGTACTCTATTTGGGTAGAGCAGTTATATTTCATTTCTTTTATCGTCTCTATATAAATAATTGTCATTCGAGTAAAATCATGCTAGTCTTTTCATTGACCGCTGATTGCAATTGCCAATTCTCTTAACAGGTGGGAGGAGGTGGAATTGTGAGAGACCCCTCGGTTCATCAAGAGGTATGTAATCCGTCTCTATGCCATTGCTAAATTACACGAGTTTCGTGCTAGCAAAGATTTTATCGAATGTCATGTACGGCAACCATAAGAAGTTGGCTTATTTTGAGCTTATTGAAAAAGCCCCATTCAGTTAGCTAGCTTTTTGAAAAACTACTTCAAGTAGCATTTCAACAAGCTCCAATGTCTTTTTTTTTTTAATTTTATATATATTCTCTCTGTTCCAGAATAAGTATCCACATTTCTATTTTAGTTTGTTTGAATTAAGTTTTGATGTTTACTTTCCCATTCTACTATTAGTTATGAAACGAAGAAAAGGGGTAAAATTGTTCTTTAGTTAATTAAAAGTGTAAAAACACACATTCTTAAAACTGTATGCCTTTTTCATTATTTTTTCTATTAATTTATCAACATGTTATTTTAGTTCATTTTACATTGTTATCAAGCTTGTAAGCTAGTTTTCTTATAGTAAATTATGTTTTTCGTCCCTGTGGTTTGTTAAAAATTATGATTTTTGTTCGTCCCTGTGGTTTGTTAAAAATTGCGATTTTTGTCCAAATTGTGGTTTTCTTCCCTATTCATTGTTATTTTCGTCCTTATGATCTACAATTTATTGTTGTTTGGTCCCTATGGTTTACAATTCTTTACTTTTTTGTCCCTCCTATTTAAAGGTAGGAATTAGTCCAGGGACGAGAATAGCAATAAATTGCAAACCGTAGGGACGAAAATCACAATTTCTAAACCACAAAGACAAAAATCGAAATTTAACAAAGCGCAAGGACGGAAATAGTAAGTTACTTCTTTTTATCTTTCAAATATGACTAGTTTATCAATCAGGTAGCTTTATTAGTTGAGTATTTTCCCCGAACAACTAGCCAAAGTATGGAACGGCCAATTTAGCTATTCTATAGAAATATCAAGTATAAGTCATTGTTGATAAAGTTGACTCTGTGTGACTCGTTATAGGTGCGTGAGAAGATCATCAAGGGTGTCGAAGATCTTGGATTCAAATGTAACGGGTGGATAGAGTCTCCTTTAAAGGGTGCGGAAGGAAACATAGAATTCTTGGCTTGCTTTAGCAGATCAAATGAGAAAAACGTTAAAGAATCACCAGTTACAACAACAACAACGGTGTAGATTTATTATAATGTGTTCTTTACACTAGAAGAAACGTTGGTAAGTCTTTGGTGTTTTATGTTTTAGGTTAACGAGAAGCGTACTATGTTGTAGCATACAGTAATCGAGTACCAACTAAAATTAAATTACGAGATAGCTATGCTAATAAACTAAGAAAGCAAAAATGAGAAGGAAATTTGGATCAAAAATCAACAAAAATAGGGGATTTTTTTTCATAAAATTATTTGTATAAATAGTGGTAATTTAATTTTATTTTGTAAAATTAAAGTGGTAGGTCCCACAACTAGTTGATTTTATTTTTATTATTTTGATTTAAACTCCTTTTAATATGATAACAAATTTCTTTTTTAGTTCTTATATTATACCTTTATTATATAGTATGTGATAAATCTAATTGTTGTAAATGTATAAATACAGTTGAAATTAATATTTAATATTTTTTTTAATTGTTTTTAGATTTTAATCTATATATAAAATAAAGTCAGCTAAAAATGTGTAAAATATTTAAAATCAATTCACTTGAAAATCTTTAAAGTCGTGTAAGTAACACGAATTTACTTGTGTAGAATCAATTCAGTTAAAAAAAATTAAAAATTATGAAAAATTAAATCAACATAAAAAAAATTAAAAATTTGTGTAAAATCAAATCAATATAAAAAATTTAAAATCATGTAAAAACAAATCAATGAAAAAAATTTCGAGATAAATATTTAATTCTCTTAGGGATTTAGAATTTCCAGAGAGATTTGGATTGGAATGGATTTGAAATCATTGTGTTTGGTTTGTAGGATTTGGAATGGAATTGAATTCCATTTATTTTTAAAAAAGTTATAAAAATAATGAGATTACATTTTTATTATTCGATTATGACAAAACAAATGTTTTTACCATTTTTTTACAACCTTATTTCATACAATTTTACAAAATCTCGTGAAACTCCAAGCATCCCCTAAGGATTTTAAAATCCTGTGTTTGTATATTTCAATTAAATCCTAGGATTTCAAGTCCGGACAATCCAACAAACCAAATATGGGATTGAAATAGATTTGAAATCCAAACCCCCCAAATCCATTCCATTCATGCGAGCCAAACGAAATCTTAATTCTTTTCCCTAATTTAATTGAACAGGTGACGACGATGTCGAGTTGACGGCCGATAAAGACAACATCCTAGTGCTAACATAAACTCATCCTAATCAACTCTCTAACTTTTATTAACTTAAATTAATCATAATCAAAAAGTAAAAAAAAAAAACTACTAATGATATGCATGGTAATTTTTTCAAATGAATATCACTGAATATGGATAAGAGAGGTATTATGGTTATACGAATAAGTCATCTTTTTTCCATTAAAGTCGTAAGTAAACACTCTATAGAGTGTGCAAGGCAGTTGAAATATTAATCCCATTAGCCATAAATAAACGGATAACGTCATAAAATCTTGTGATTCCTGTCCACCAATCATATGAATACACGCAATCAGAGAGAATGTGATGATGAATTAAATAAATTTAAAATAAATAAACATCTGATTTGACTTATTCTCATTGGTGGGACATGAATGAGACAGGAGTTTTATGAGAGGTGATTTTATCCTAAATAAACGCCCCCTAAGAAAAAAAAATGCTTTCTAGCCTCACTAATTCTCAGATGAACGATTTTATACCCCACGATATTTGAATAACGTTTCATGTTATAATTTTCTATGCGAATATTTACATAATGTCTTGCATTTTATGATTGAACATTACGGTGATCGAGTTATATTTTCCAACTGAACAATGTTGTTGGATGCTGACGGAGTTCTATTTCGTGAGTTAACTCGCTTTTTGAACGTATTGTAGATCAATCATAAAAGCAGAGCAATATACACAACATACTTTTGGAAAATTTTATTCATATATATATCTCGTTAGAAATACGATAGAGATGTTTAACAAAACATACAATATTAATTTGTTGTAGAAAAGTTAACGGGCCTTGAATCCATGTCATAGAAAAGTTAATACCAATTTTATCAATTAATTATGAGTTCTGTTTCAACGACTTTAGGAACCGACTCACTGTTAGCTCCAGATTCACCATCTTTGGCTATTTGAGCCGCTTTAGGAACGGAGTCACTCATCCAAAAGCTGGTAGCTTCGAGTTCACCATTTTCAGCCATCTGAGCTTTTTTAGGAACCGAGTCACCAACCCAAAAGTTGGTAGCTTCAAGTTCACCAATTTCAGCTATCTGAGCAGCTTTAGGAACCGAGTCAGTGGCCCAAAAGTTGGTAGGTTCAACTTCACCTTTTTCAGCTATCTGAGCAGCTTTAGGAACCGAGTCACCAGCCCAAAAGTTGGTAGCTTCAAGTTCACCGTTTATGTCCATTTGGAGCTTCCGCGATACGGTGTCTCTAGGAGGAGACTCAACCATATCATCAACCATGGCCTCTTTAGGAGGAGGAACCACATGAGCCATCCCTGAGTAAGCCAAGGCTACAATGGCTAAGCAAACCCATTGACTAATTGGTGTCGCCATTGATTGCTACTATAACTTTAATTTCAATCTTTAGGTCTGAAAATTAATGAAGGGATATATGTGATTTATATATGATTAAGCTTTGAATTGAGTTTTTGTTTGTTTGCACAAATAAAGACGATGTTTGCGGCTGGTACAAGTAACACGACACTAATTGGGTATTTCATTCGAGTGTTTGTGTTTTTGTTGACGGTTTAGCATAATTGGACGTAAACAGTGATGACGTGACTTTTCGTCCATAAAATCGGCTAATTCTTGGAATTTGTAATCATATCGAGAGAAACTTTCGAATTTACAAAAGGAACATGTAACGGAAAAGTGAAGCCCTTTTAGAAGCGAATAAATCAATAGAGATTGTGTACAATGCAAGATTTACATCTGATGGGGAATGTCAAACCTTCCACTAAATCAGGTGTAAACAGTAAATCTTCTCTCACGGGTAATATCAAATAGTACACCAAAATGTAAGATTATAAGGGGCTGTTTACTAAATACTTATCCGATAAGTGTGGATCGGGTAACTTTTCTCACCTGATGCACATGGTAAGGGCCTGAAAATCTTACCTGGTAAGAGCGATGAAAGGGATAGAGAGTCTTACCCGGTAAGTGATGGTGATGACTCTTACCCGGGTAAGCGTCTACGGGGTAAATTGTTGCATACGATGTCGTTTTAATATACTACAGTCTTATCTGGTAAAATAGATTATAGTGTTGACTCCTACCGGCAAGTGCTTACCAGGTAAGTATTTGGGTAAACGGCCCCTAAGTATATTCCTCTTTACCTTTTGTAATCGGTGTAAATGAAAATGTTACTATTTATTATGCCAAATTTGATGTCTCAATGAAAATAATAAATTGTCAACAAATTTAGGGGTTGTTTATTTACCTTTTAATAGTTTCATTAAAAGATAACATCTGAATCGTTAAAAGGTGAATCTTGTTTGGTAATAAAAAGGTCTGCCTCTTAATGGTTCTAAAACCCTCTGAACAATTTTGTATCCTGAGTCTCCCTTAACCATTCAGTGCCTTAATTTTACTCTTAACAATCACCAAACAATTTTATTTCATTTTGCATTATATCATAAGAGTCTCTTAATCATTATGACTACTTAATCATTCTGTATCAAACCATTCAACAACTGCCAAACAATACTAAATATGAACCGAAAGATATAATAGATTATTGTTGCATGTAGCTATCATTTTTGTAGCATAAAAAGTAAAACTATTTAATGGTGAAGAGAAGTGTAGAGAAGGATGTGGTACAAAAAGGGTTAATGTAATGGTTTTTTTAGTAATTTGTTATTTGCAATGTTTTTTTTTTGAATTAAATCTCTGTTAATATGATAACAAATTTCAGTAGCACTCTTATATTAACAAATTTCTGTTAATATGATTGTCAATTTTAACATGTTTTTATCTGATTTATTGATTCATGCATGTTTGTACTCTTCATTTGTTGGACAAGTTTGCACTCCAAAAAATCCAGCTTGCCGATAATAATATTTGTCAGACTACTATTTGATTTTATATTGTATTGATATTTTTTCGGCTAGATGACAAACCAATCCACTTTGGTGACTATCTTGACCTCATTTCAATTAGTCTTCGATTCTGTTGAAGACTTTTTGTTCTTTGATCAATACAGATAGTTATAAGACTTTTACAATGAAAAATCTTATATTTGATGCTAATTGTATTATTTACAAATCCGATGGTTGAAATCAACAAATTTAATTTTCTAAATATATAGTTAATATCGATATTGAATATTACTTTTATATATACTATTTTTTATTTTAATTTATGTATAAAATGAAATCAGCTAAAAATGTGTAAAATCAATTCAGTTGAAAATATTTAAAATTGTATAAATATTGTATTATCAAATAATTGGATTTAGAAATCTAATGGGATAGCTGGTATTTCAAGAGATTTTATATAATCGTATTTGTTTTCAAATATGTTAAAAACATTCAATTGTTAATAATCAATTTAGAAAAGAAATTTAATTATTTTTATAAATTATTTATTAAACAACAAAATTTCATTTCATTTCAAAACCTACAAATCAAACACAACAAAGATTTAAATCATTCTAATTCCAAATCATTTCACAAAATCTAAGGTGTCGCTTACCAAACGCTTATCCGAGTAAGTGTTAACGGGTAAAATTTAACACAATCACTTATTTACTGGGTAAGGTTTTTTAGTCTACCAAAACAAAACAAAATTGTATGCAACAATTTATCCGGTAAGCGCTAACCATAGTAAGAATCATCGTCCCCACTTACCGGGTAAAGGTCCTTACCTTCGTTCTTACTAGGTAAGATTATTGGTTCTTTCATATTCATCCGGTGAGGTAATTTGACATGGTAAGCGCTTACCCGGATAAGAGTTTGGTAAACAGCCCCTAAATCTCTCAAAAACATTCCGTCAAGAAGGAACGCCCTTAGAGTGATTCGAATGCCAAGGTGAAGATCTGGCGTTTTGAAGTTGGTGCGCACGATTAACTTCTTCCTTTTCGGTTTTCGGTTTAACCTTCCATCATTTTCAGCATTCTTTTATTTACGCATTACTAGACTCGAAAACATGACATGAAACACACTTGGAAGAACACACAAAAAACCGAAAAATTAGGAGAGTTACATAGCTACCGTTATATACAAGTACACATAACTGCTAAAATTTGCGACAAACCTTTAGATTTTCCATTGCTAATGACGACAAATGTTCACCCGATACTTTTCAGCATTTCAAAGGGTAGTTTCAGACCGAACACTTGGCCGACCACTGAAAACCACGATATCATGTATCGCTCTGTTCCATTTGTAGCCATTGAATTATCGACACCAACAAGTAGTAGTTTCATCCACTCGCTAGTCCCACATGGATGTAACATGTACCACGGTCTATTCAAGTACGGGTGCTCCTACATTTAAGAAAATGAACGCATAAATGAACAAATATTTTTGTCGGTTATTATAGCGAGTAGGTTTGGATCCGCCTCAAAAGACTTCATGAGAATAAGAACTTACTTGTTGAGTTATGAAGGTCCATTTGGATTCTAGCAGCACCTTGGCCGATTTGGTTGGTAGGTTCGTTTTGATTTCATCTAAGTTCAGAGGTTGTCCATCTGCACACTTAACATGCATCAGTTTGGGTATCCTGAAAGATCAAACGATACTATTTTGGAGAGAGTAATCTAATGGAGTTCCACATATCTCATTATGGTATTTGAGCAAAGGTCTACCATTCTAGGGACTCAACATTATGTGACGCCGCTTGACACTCTGGGACAGTCGGTGTCCATCTAGCCCCCATTCGGTACCCTGTGACAATTTGTGCCCATCTAACCCCCACTCGATATTATTTGAGCCAAGATCTACCACTCTAGTAATTCGACACTCGGGAACAATCTTTGTCCATCCAGCCCCCATTCGGCACTCTATGACAACCTGTGCTCATCTAGCCCCCACTTGACATTATTTGAGCCAAGGTCTACCACTCTAGGGACTCAACATTCTAGGACAATCTGTGTCTGTCTATCCCCCACTCGACACTTTGTGACAATCTGTGCCCGTCTAGCCCCCACTCAACGTTATTTGAACCAAGGTCTATCACTTCAGGGACTCGAAATTCTAGGACAATCTGCATCCCTCCAACCCCCACACCACACTCTCGGACAATTAGTGCCCATCTAACCTTTGTTCTAGGGGGTGCAGTGGAGTTCTACATCGTCTAGATTTGGATAGTTTCTCCTTAATATATGTTGGAACTTTCCTTCTCTCCTCAAGAGCTCTTTTGGAGAGTGATTTAATGGGGTTCCACATATATCACAAAGGGGGTTGCTATTCATACCCCCTCCTCACTCACATACCCCTTGTAGAAGGGGGTATGAATAGAATACACCTATCACAAATGCAACTTCATGCAATGAATCAAATTGCATACAGGTAGGGATCAACTAACCGGTATTCTGTACATGGAAGTAGAGCACTGGAACCCTGTACGAAGGGCTGTATACGACATGGAAATGATATTGATCTCCATCATCACTGGTACTCTGCACCTTGCAAATTCGTACTATTTCATCAGAGACCGTAAGTATCAGCCATCACCAGTACAAGGTAGCCGAGAATTACAGTAAATGTTCTCTCACTCTTATGGAAATTGTAACATTTTGATTTTCGACAAAATTCAAATCCTAATTACATGTTTTGGTCATTGTCGTCCATACAAAGAATCGATGCTTTTGCATTCAGCAAACATGCTTCATTTATTATGTTATCAGTGTGTTTGGTACGTGAGACAGGGTAGGACGAACAAAACTTGTTGTCACAGTTTGATGCAGCAATTAGATCGAGACCAGACAACGCTGAGGAAACAAAAATTCATTTTTCTGTCGCATCAAATTAGATGCAACAGAAATCAAGGAAATGAGACAAACTTGGTACTAAACTTATCCGTGTCAAATTAAAACCCTAAAGCCTTCCACAATTCTTTCACTCGTCTACCTCATTCTCGCTCGTCTAGTCCCGTCCAGGTGGTAAAAGAGTTGTGATGTTCTTGAGATGGATGGAGTTTAAATGAGAAGCATATCATATTTGGTTATTAAAATCAAGTACAAATGAGAATGCCACAGACATAAACACCAAAACAAGGGGAAAACATGCATACTAAAGTGGCATTATCGAAAGGTTCTTCATCATCATTGCAACCGCCTTCATCACGCTCTTCCTGGATAACAAATCAGGCATCAGATAACATCTTTCATGTCTTCCAATGCTATTTTTTCTGCTATATGGTATGAAGTCAAAGCTAAACCTCGAGAGATCTCCGAATGAACACATTCTGTAGTGACAAGTATCCATCGATAACTCCATGAGCTGCAAACCCTAATCTGTTTGAGCAATCAATCCATAACCACTCAGGATAAGCAGAATTGAACTTCTTCCACTTCTCAGCAAAATCATTAGCAGCAATTTGGAAATCAATTAACGAGAGGCTTCCATCACAAGTTGCCTGATTGGAAGCCATTACAGCCTGAAGAAATCGTCACTAATACCAGTATATGAAGCTTTAAATATCGCAAAGAAATATAGATTATGAAGGAAGTAAAATCGACAATCAATTGAACGAACATTAAGCAGCAGAATCGAATAATTCTCAGTATTACGATGATACCGATCAATCGACTCGAAAACTAGAATAAAACCGATCAATCGATTCAAAAACTAAATCTCATATGTTATTCGATGTTAATTAACAATCTGGAGTAGAGATTACCTTCAAAATCACGAACGAAACTTCGAACCGAACTCAACCTCGAGCCCAGAAATTATTGTCTTGCGGTTTCAAGAAAGCTAAAAGAAATTAACAACCCCAAAGTCATATAATTAAAAGAATAAAGGGATGAATCTCAACCCTTAATTAGATTTGATCAAAGGCTGAAATCAGTAGTGGCAAATCTTGTAATTAATAAATGAAAAAATAAAGTTTCCAACAGGGTCAAAAGATTTTAGGGATAAAATTGGGGGAAAAAATGGATGTTTACGCAAGCGATTAATACGGGATATGATTATCTATACCATATCATGAATTACCGTTTATTAATGCATATTACTTAAAATTCAATATTACAAGTAGATTATATTTAAGAACAACTTATTAAAATTCTATCTTTGAATTCTTGTAACTAACTGCAGATAAACATAATTAAATACAGAATAAAATCTCATTTTAAATATATTTTTTTAAATATAATTAGAATAATAATTAAATTCTAACAAAATATTTAATTATTATTTTTTATAAAAATTATATTATTAAACCTAAGTTAAATTATAATTAAAAAATTTAAATTAAGAAAATTACACCAAATACAAGAAACTTTTAAAAAAATTAATTTGATACTGATATCAATATATATATATTTTTTTTAAAATTTATAATATTTTTAAATTTATATTTTATTCAAAAATAAAAACATTGTCGTTTTCTCAAAACCACATAAAACCATTTTATATCAACATAAAAAAGAAATAAAACGAAACACTGAAATCAAGATGTGTCTCGATACATTGCACGAGTACCCTTCTAGTCCTATCAAATCGTCCAAGTCAATCATTTCCAAAAGATATCGATGCCGCAGTCTATGAAAGAATAAAAAGAAACACAATGAGTTGACTCGGTGAGTACAAAATGAGTCTTTGCATGGATGAGCCCGTCTCTTTATTGAGGCTTCGATGGCGTTGGAGAGGATGGCGGTTTCATATCGGGGTACTGCATTCAAATTTATAGCATTATTAGTGTGCTTAATCATGCCATTTCCAATTAACCAAACGAACCCAATATATCCCACTCGGAGGTAGGGTTTGAGGAGAATAAGATGTACACAGATCTGATCTCTATACCCGTGAAGTATAGAGCAGTTGTTTCTGCGAAGACCAATTAGTTGATAAAAAATGCATGATCTTACTTACCATCGAGTATGGAGACGATGGTCGTACGCTTGTGTTTGGTTTCGTAGACGTGTCGACATAGCCATTGTTCGTTTGTTTGCTATCTAAAAAAGTCGGCTCGCTCTTGGCTTCACTTTGTTTGCCAACACTTCCGTTGTTGTTTGACTTTTTGACTCCCGTTTTGGGGAATACGTGTACGGATGGCGGAAGAAGCGTTTCTTGTATTTCCTATAAAAGACGAGGAATGATGAAGAAAATATTTCCTTCTATATTGATGGATGATTGAGATTAAATCTACAACTATCTGTAATATCTCAGGCCAACCGTACCAGATATTGTCCGCTTTATCCACACCAACATCATATCGAGAAAAGAGGAGTGAATGGTTACCTGCCACCCGTTGTCGCCTCTAACCCCGCCACGGATGGCATAAGCCTCTTTAAACCCATTGTTGAACAATAACTCGGCCACTTTCATGGAGTCACCATCAAAACTACCTTACAAACAAAATAAAGGAATCAAAAAACAGATCAAACTTCTCAATTGACATTATATAAAGGCTATATTAGTTGATAAGTTAGTTGTTGGCTGATAAACTAGTCATATTTGATAAAAACTAGTTGATAAACTAGTTATATTTGATAAAAACCAGCTGATAAACTAGTTATATTTGATAAAAACCAGCTGATAAACTAGTCATGTTTGATAAAAACAACATATGTATAAACACCTAATCAATATCAGAAATTTAGGGGACGTTTACCAAACGCCTACTAGATAAGCACTTACCGGAATACGGGCGCACTTTTACTTATTGGGTAACCATTACAACGACCGAGAATCTTACTCTGTAAGTGAGGGTGGTGACTCTTATTGGGTTAGCACTTCCTGGTTCTGATTATTGCCTACTATGCCATCTGATACAGACTTACAAATTTTTTCAAATGGTGGCACCATTTGATTATAAAAAATCAAATATAGGGATATTCTTCACAAAATCATCATTCGTCTGATGGTTAGTTCATTGCTTTTCATATGTGGGGTCTTGTGTTCAAGTCTATTGATGCAATTTTTTTCCAGAAACATAATAAATCTAAAATTAAAAGCTAAAAACTAAGAAATTGACAAGTGAGTTTTCCATATGTTAGCACTTTTCACGACCCTATATTTTTTACACTACAAACGGAACGAAGCGGTGGCCCGTGCCACCACATAAACCACCTAGGTCCTGTATGCCATTTTGATCGCTGCAAATCTGACCCATAAGGTAAGCATTTGATAAATGGCCCCTTAGTGCTAATTTATACATTTAGATTCGGTTCGAATGAGTGTTCTTCCAATTATATCGCTTGGACCAAAAAATTAGGCAGGTAGAGTCATCACTCTCACTTACATTACCCTGTAAGATTCTAATCCATCAAAACAGCATCGTATGCAGCAATTTACCCGATAACCGCTAACCAGATAAGAGTCATCACACTCACTTATCGGATAAGACTCTCGGTCCTTGCTATCGCCCTTACCGGATAATATTCTTTATCTTTGTCATGTTCATCCAATAAGGTAAGTAACTCGGTTAGAGTTCTTTTTTTCTTGGACGGGTGTCTATGCCTAACTAATCCCAGTAAATTGTGACCGCAAGCAATCAGCCCGGATAAACGCTATAAATGAATCGAACCCTGGCAGATGGGATATTCCACTACATCCCAGGACCTCAGCCACTACACCACAACCGGTTGACTCAGAAAGGGCTTACAAGGTAAGTGACTGGTAAACGAACCCTAGCCTCACTATTCTAAGCATCTCTCCCCCATTTCAGTTTCCAGAAAATATGTCAAGATTCTGTTTTAGCTCAAACTGCCATTTTTAACATACAAACACAAGGATTCAGAGTAAAATGTGATCACTTTATGAACTTTTCATTACAAACAAACCATTTTTCTTGGGGAAAACCTGAAAAATCTTTAGTTTGCAAGAACGAAGGTCAAAAATGGCGGAAAACTCACTTGTCAAGAATACAAATGGTGGTATTTGCAGGATCTCCGAAATTCTCCTTCACTTTCTTCGCAAAACCCTCATCATCTCCATCACTAAACTCAACCTGCACAGCCTTCTTATTCAATATCTTCAAATTCGGCGAACCCAGAACCCGAACCGTCTTGTTATCCCTGATATCTAAAAGCTGAGCATTTGGGTCCTCCTTAAGCTTCTTGAAAGCATCAATGGCGGATATGGGTTTGTACTTTCGCAGGTATCCTTGACTCACAGGGATAACAAACAACCAAATGAAAACAACCCCAGCAACAAAAAATGGGTATCTGTTGAAGAAATCGTCAATGGAAACCACAATCGCCTCTAGGTTGATTTTGCTAGACGATTGGTTAGTGGGTAGTTCAATAGAAGCAGATTCAGAGGCAAATGAAGAAAGGGGAAATGGAAAACCCACAAAAAGGAAAGAGAGAGATTGGAGATTGGGTTTAAGGGTGGTGGTGATGGATGATTTGGGGGTTTTCTTGATGAAATTGGAGAGGGATTGGATGGAATTGGGGATTAAATTGCAATTGGGGAAAAGAAAATAGGGTTTGGGGGTTGTGATTTTGTGGGTTTTAGGGTTCTTTGAAAAAGGTGGAGAAGATGAGAGGGGTATGGAGAGAGACTCCATGAGAGAGATGGAGAGAGGGATCAGAAGCAGGAGAAAATGGTGAAGTTGATGAAAAGATCGAGATGATAAGATTGGTGGCGGGATAGTCGTTAACCCCCTTAACCGTAAACGTTAAATAAATAAATGAATGCCAACATTTTATTAAAAATATAACAATTTCACAAATTCATAAGATTCATGGTCGATCACTTTTTTATACTTGAAATTTTGTAACAAAATGCTATGAAGGTAACTTTAACAACGTTTTTACTGTAATTATACGAGTTTTTTTTACTTTCATAACATTTTGCTATGAAGTTTTAAGTATAAAAATCGTATCACACGTGTCTCACGAAAACAACATTATCTCACATCATTATTACAATTAAATCATATAAAAAGTCTTCGATTTATCAAAACATTATCATAACAAAAACCACATCATTATGGATAACCGAGGCAAGTCTTCAATGATACTAGAAACATTTAAGAGACAAAAACAAATATAAAATAGCAGAAAATTATTGATAACTACCAATTATTTTTCATTTATTATAATAATTTTTATAGGTTAATTAATTTGGAGGCCAATGATTGTTCTTGTATTTTCGTAAAATAGAGTTGTCCTTTTTTGAACCCGCCTATATATATATATATATATATAGCGGCTATTCCAGGAAAAACTTAATATTTTTTTATGATCGTAAGATCCAATCTTAACCATAATTAAAAAATTAATAATTATGATATTTTTAACTTAAAATATTAGTTAACAACATTATAGAGATTCTAAAAATCTCATCTATTCGGCGAACTATATTCCTTCAAATCTTATTCTGACGAACTTTATGTGAAAACAATATACACACTGTTATATATAAATAGGGTATATTTCTTTTACAACCTTGTGTATTTGTACAACCCTTACAACCCAATTAATTGAGATATTTATAGAAATGATGAGAGTTCATTTATTATGATTTGAATATTTATGGAATATGAATAGAGTTCATTAATTATGATTAATACTTTATATTAGGAAACAATCAAAACTTCTATGAAATCACATATTCATCAAATGAAATGGAGGGTTAAGATTGGGTTGTATTGGTTGCACAAATGTCAAGGGTTGTATAATAACCAACCTCTAAAATAATATTGCTAAAAAATACATACAAACAATATTCAGTGTGATACCCGTCTGTACATACAACATGCAAATTGTGATACCTTTATAAAGCAACTAAAATAACAAAAATACACATTTAAACCAATGAAACTAACGAAAATACATATCATGGTACACTTTATAAAACAACGAAAATACATTGTGAACATTATGAATGATACATTTGGATCCATAAACATTTTTAAAAGACAAAAAATATTAGGTAATCAACATATTAGGTAATAAAAATTAATCAAATATTTCCTTTAAAAAAATTAATTAAATCCTTTTATGAGTTGTTATAAATAAAATTACTAAATTATCTTTTTATCTTGTTTAAGAAATATCCTTAAATATCTTAAATTAGTTGTTCACATTCGATCTCATGGTTATCAAAAATTCCTGTGTGTGTGTGTGTGTGTGTGTATATATATATATATATATATATATATATAAAGAGAGGGGGGAAGCGATCAAATGCAAACCACTCATACTTGTACAAACCGTGCAAACCATCTTAATCCGTTAGTTTCATTGTTTGATTTTATTAAAAAATTTCATGAAATTGTTTTATATAATACTTTTTTTTGATGAAGTTGTTTCATATATGGTTATGAAATTATTTTATATAATTTATGAAATTTTAATGAATCTGTTTCATGTATTTCTCTAAAATTAATATAATGAAGATGATAATATTCATGATTAACACCCTCCATAATAAAAATGATTAATCAACCTCTCATAATTACAAAAAAATGAACAAAATAAAAAATTATAATTGGTTGAATGAAGTTTGCATAAATAACAC